TGTTAATTTTTCTATTAGCTTATCTTACTTCTTAGTACCTATTTTCATTAGTTATATGTATTAAATGCATGAAACACTGAAATATTGTCAGTATTCAACAGTTAGGAATTCACAGACCACAGTCACCCCCTTGCCTTTTCCCAAGCTTCCCTGTACTTCATCTTTTTTCCAAAGTAAAAGAATTTGGCAGCATAGCAACTTTAAAACTTACGCATACCCAGGGGGTCATAGTGAGAGTGGTCTACTGCTTGTTCTTTTTGGACACAATGGTACTTTATATTTTTCTTCCAGGTTTCTGCCCCATGCACAGGTCCCTTTGTTTTTGTGATGAGCACCAGCATGGGGTGAGGTTTGGAAGAGAGACCTGAAGGCCCACTCTGGTACCGGAGCACCAAACCTGCATTCTACAGTGGAACCTCTCATATCCCACGTCAGTGACAAGAGGAAAYGGTATTTTTGTTTAGCCACTATTTAGGTGTGTGTTTGTGTTGGTGCATTTGCCTTTTGTTGGACATGTGTCCTGGAAGCAATAGCCTTAGAGAGTGTGGGCTCCAAAACTATGGGCTGGGAGTGCCATGCCTCCTGGAGACCCCCAGGGAGGCAGGCCACTCACCAGGCCATGGGCATTGCCCTCTTTGGCATTTGGGTCCAGCCACTGGGTCTCTAGGAATTTCACTCCCATGCAGGCAAGCATTCTTTTGAACTGATGTTCAGTGAGTCAGCAGCCTGGTTGACTGGGTGAAACCTGGGTGACTAGTTGATAAAACCTGGGTGACTGGGTTGAAAGGTTCCCCTGGAGGATCCTTTCATTCTGCTCATTGATCTGCAGTGGTGCTCAAACCCTGCTTTCAGATTTTGTTTAAAAATCGTTGTTTTTTTACTAAGATGGCTTGGATTTCTTGGCCAAAACCAAAACCAAAATAAAACATGGAGTGGTGTCACAGATGAAACAAGAATGGAAATTGGTCACTGAGTGGTTCAAGATTCATTCTTCCTAGTTTTTTATATTTGAAAATATCCATTAAAAATATCTTCCCTAGGCCAGGTGCAGTGGTACACGCCTGTAATTATAGCAGCTTGGGAGGCTGAGGCAGGAGGATCACAAGTTCAAAGCCAGCCTCAGCAATTTAGCAAGGCCCTAAGCAAACTTAGAGATATGCTGTCTTTTTTTTTTTTTTTTTTTTAAAGAGAGAGTGAGAGAGGAGGGAGAAAGAGAGAGAGAGAGAGAGAATTTTTAATATTTATTTTTTAGTTCTCAGCGGACACAACATCTTTGTTGGTATGTGGTGCTGAGGATCGAACCCGGGCCGCACGCGTGCCAGGCGAGCGCGCTACCGCTTGAGCCACATCCCCAGCCCCAAGAGATATGCTGTCTTAAAAAATAAAAAAGGTTGGGGGATGTGGCTCAGTGGTTAAGCACCCTGGGCTCAGTCCCTGGTACCAAAAAAAAGCTAAACTAAGGGTCATACATAATCTTCAGTGTTCCCACTCATTGGGCTGGTGATAGACTCATGGACCAGATGAGGAGGTGAAGCCACATTTACAYTCTTAGCTGGAGGGTTTGTGAAGTTGTGTGCATTTAAAAAAAAAGGCTGATCCTGCTTAGAGAGATGCCAGAGAACCTGTTAGGAATACTATTGGAGATTTCTCACTCTGCATGTTCTCAGATCCCTAGGGTTGCAGCAGTAAGGAAAGTGTGTAGAGTGTTGACAAACTTGTATAGCTGAGAATTAGAAAGAGGTCCCGTTCTTTCCCCCAGCCTTGCGTGAAAATGTGGAATGCACTTCTTGGATAACACCACTAACTTGAAATAACTGTTTTGTGAATTTTCTATTCTTCCTTTTTGCCTCTCTCCTTGATCCTGACTTGCTTTCTCAACTGGGGCATGTACTAAGTAGTTGTTTATAGGTGATGTCCAAAGCTAAGGAACAATTTTGGGGGGTTTCTCAGATACCTTCGCTTGCCCAGGCTGAGCCCCTTCCATAACATCAGATGTGTGCCCTTTGCCAGGCTATTGCTGCTTCTGTGGCATGCCCTTGTGCTTTAGTATGTGGCCTCTTTGTCCTTCCAGGCTTGAGTAGTTCACTGTCCATGCTCAGGAAGTGGTGGCGGAGGACTCCTTGAAATGGTCTGGCTTGGGTTCTCAATACTCCATCCTTCCTTGTCATTGCCTAATGCTTCCCTAGGCGGGACACCCCGCCTGCCAGTGAACAGGCTAGGCTTTCCCATTTCTTCCCTCTCCAGAGGTGTTGAGGGTGCCGAGTTTCCGCACTGAACTAAACTCCCCTTTGAATCCACACCTTTCTGCTCTCCAGGACAGATGTGATCCATCTCTCCTCCCTTCCAGGTAGCACAAGAACACTCCCTTCATATTGATGGGATCCCCGGGATAAGACAACCTGTCACAGGAAGCGTTCACGTTAACCTCTCCCTTCCGACAGCGGGGTTTGGCAGCTCTGCTGGACTCACATGACTTTCTCCCCGCAGAGTTTAGCAGCAGGGTGAAGCTGGCCTCAACTTGCCCCTGGAATAGAAGCAGCGCCTACAGGTGACATTAAGACCTCTAGAAGACACAGTTTTGAGGCCTCCCCCTCTTCCCCCTTAGGAAAACCAAAACTTACCTTTGGAGCAAGGAGCGCGTTTTCCTGCAGGCCGCCCCTCAACATGTTGGCGGCTTCAGGCACTGTGGCAGTGGGCAGACCCTACGCATGCAGCGAATGTGGAAAGAGCTTCCGCTACAGCACAGTGCTGCTGCGCCATGAGCGTGCCCATGGTGGTGACACCTGTTTCCGCTGCCTGGAGTGTGGCGAGCGCTGCGCACAGGCTGCCGATCTGCGTGCTCATAGGCGGACCCACGCAGGCCAGACGCTCTACATTTGCAGCGAGTGTGGCCAGAGCTTCCGCCACAGCAGCCGACTCGACCTGCACCTGGGTGCCCACCGTAGGCGCAGCCGCGCCTACCCATGCCGCCTGTGCGGTGGCAGCTTCCCTCACCTACCTGCGCTGTTGCTGCATCGCAGCCGCAGACACCCGCCCGAACAGCCTTGCCGCTGCCCACTGTGTGCACGTGCTTTCCGGCAGAGCGCGCTGCGTTTCCACCAGGCGCGGGCGCACCCAGCTGGCAACCCCACTGTCCCCACCCCTGGCGCGCTCCACCACTGTACACAGTGCCCTCGGGCCTTCCGCAGCAGTGCAGGGCTGCGCAGTCATGCACGCGTCCACACTGTCTCCAGCCCTGGAGCCCACATGCCCCCACAACCCCGTCCCACGGACGTGCACCAGTGCACTGTATGCGGCAAGACTTTCGGCAAGAGTTCCACGCTAACACGCCACCTCCAGACGCACTCAGGTGAGAAGCCTTTCAAGTGCCCAGAGTGTGGCAAGGGCTTCCTGGAGAGCGCCACGTTAGTGCGCCACCAGCGTACACACACGGGCGAGAAGCCCTATGCTTGCAGTGACTGTGGACGCTGCTTCAGCGAGAGTTCCACGCTCCTACGCCACCGGCGCAGCCACCGTGGCGAGCGGCCACACGCGTGCACCACTTGTGGTAAGGGCTTTGGGCAGCGATATGACCTGGTGGTACATCAGCGCATCCACACCGGGGAGAGGCCTTTCCCATGTCCCGAGTGTGGCCGCGGCTTCAGCGACCGTTCAGACCTCACCAAACACCGCCGTACGCACACTGGGGAAAAGCCATATGGCTGCGAGCTGTGTGGCAAGCGATTCACATGCGTGTCCAATCTCAACGTGCACCTGCGCAATCACGCAGGCCATAAGCCACACACGTGCCCTGAGTGTGGCAAGGCCTTCAGTGTCGCCTCCAAGCTTGCGCTGCACCGAAAGACACACCTGGGCGAGCGGCCAGCGAAATGTGCTGAGTGTGGCAAATGCTTTAGCCACAGCCGGTCACTGTCACAGCATCAGCGGGCCCATACACGTGCCCGTGCTGCTGTCCATGAGGCTGCAGGAGGCAGGGACCTGGTCCTTATGGGGCCAACTGGACAGGAAAAGCCAGGGGTCTTATGTCCCCGCTGAGGGTGACTTGCTGGGAGGTTTCTTAAAGGGGCCTGGGCTAGCACCCCTACAGTGCCAAGGGACAAAGGAGGATTCACAGGTTTGGCCTTTTGCACTTCTGTTGGTGGCCCTTTGTTTACCAGGATTGCCTTACCTCTGCACTGACTTCCCCAGAGGCTCTTTCCCCATCCTCAGTCCTTGAATCTCCCAACCTCTCTCCAGGTATGGGGGAAGGCATCAGGACAGCCCTCACCCAGTGCGCAAGGGGTCCCAGAGTTGTGTCCTATTGCTGGCCTGTGTTCTGGTATTTTTCCTGTTTTCCCTCTTGTGTGCTGTCTTGTCCCCTCTCCTTATGCCAGTGTGCATTTCCTCGGCCTCTTTCCCCAATACTTTTGCTGCTGTGCCTCTCTAGGTAAAGTCACAGATTTGGCTAGTTGCATCTTGCCAGCTCTGTGGTCTTCTTGCCAGGTAGTTGCACCTGTTAGACTGCTTTCTCCCTCTGCCTGAAAGACGGAGATAGGAGCCCAGTTCATTGAACAGCATCTCCATGCCAGGAGCTGCTTGCTCCCTGGGAATGGTAGCCCACCCAGATGAGACCAGGCAGGACCCTCAGCATGACTACCTTCTGTCCCCTGAGCAAATTTGGGTTCCTATTAGGACGATATTTTCCGACCAGGTGGGGGACATTTTACTCTGGCATGTGGGACAAGACCATGTGGGTTCACAAAGCCAAGTACTGCCAAGTGGAGTATCAGAATATTATTTCCAAATCAAATTTGGAACCATGGGGAAACAGGTTCACAGACAGGTGGAAGCAGGACGAAGACTCCTGGAATTGTGACTTTTTGCTATGGCTGGTGAAATAAAAGAGTTGTTTGGGTTTTGGATGCCAAGAGTCCCTTTGTCAAATCTGAGGTTGCTGTCTTCCCAGACTTTGGGAGTATACAAGAGCCAGGTCCTTCTGTAGTTCCAAGGTCTCACCCCTTTCCAAGGACCTAGGTGATGTGCCTCATCCTGGTCTAGCTAGTCCCACCACTCTGTGGGGACCCTCTCTCCATACTGTTACAGTCTCTTCTCTTCAAGGATGAGAGTAGGTTCATACTCCCCAGGAAAGACTACCAAAGTGCCTAGTGAATCTGGAAATCAGGGTGGGGGCAAGTGAGAGCCTGCAGAGAGAGACACGGGCCTGTACCTGTCCTGCATGCTGGCACACTCTCACATCCAGCTATCAAAGAAATCCAGCATTCCTACATCTCAGGTACTAAAATGTGCTCTGCCCAAAGTGCTCATGTAAAATACTCGTTTATTCTTTCCTTCAGGAAGACTAAAGTAGCCTGGCTCTTTAGGGCCCGTGCCTCCACCTGCACTCCCTGTGGCCTAGTTTCTGGGAGCAGATATCTGCAGTTATCCTCCGGGCTTTTAGTCCTGTGTAGTCCCTGGGGACTGGCTCTCTGAAGCCAGCTGAGGGGGAAAGGTCACTGCTGATGGAGCACCAGAGCCTTCAGCGGACCCCAGAGGTTCAGGAGCAGAGCCGCGGCAACAGGGCTCCAGCGGGCCTGGTGGTTCCTGTGGGGCTGGGCGCAGAGCTGGGTGACTTTTGCTGCAGTGAGCAGCCACACTGTCTGGCCTCTCAAAGCGCTTGCCGCAGAACTCACAGGGAAAGCGCCAAGCTGCTGCTGTCTCTGCATGCTTGCGCCGGTGCCAGTTCAGGGAGGCCTTCTGGCGACAGGTGAACCCACAGATCTCACACCTGCAGCCAGGGACAGAGGAGGGAAGGGGTAAGCCTTGACTTAGGTCTGCCTTGACTCCCCCAGGGCTTCCTGCTGGGCCCCGCCCGGGACCCTCAGCACTCAGGCACTCACTGCAGGGGCTTCTCTCCAGTGTGGATGCGTCTGTGAATGACGAGGTTGCTGCTGGTGCGGAAAGACCGGGCGCAGAATTCACAGATATAGTCCCGGGTGTCTGTGGGCACACAAGGCACACTCCAGCATCTGTCCCCAGGCCCACGGCCCCTCCATGGCCCACCCTGCCCATTATCCCCCACAGAATGCAGCAGTTCTAGGGGTCAGTCCTGGTTTTGTTCTAAGGAGGTGCCCAAATCATGGAGCCTGTCTGGACTTCCTTTACATGGAGAGGTGGGACGACTGAGTGGGGAGGGGCACAGAATGGAACATCCAGCTGGAAGGCTCCGTCACTGTCACACCCCTCTCCACCCAAACCCTGATCTCCCTGTGGAGTTGCAGCGACCTCATCATGGGCCCTGGAGCTGGGTCTTTGCCAGAGGAATGGAGAGTTGTGTCCCTGTGGACAGGAACACCAGGCAGTAGCCACAGTATACCTGGAGTCAGGGGCAGGAAGTAGGACTACAGTTCAAGCCCCAGGGATACTTCCTGGCATCTGGAATCATCTCCCCATGCAGGCCTGCAGACCACAGCTCCAGCCCTGCGGAACACCTAGACTGCTGGCAGTGACTGTCCTCTCCTTCCAGAGTCTGCTCCCTGCTAGTTCCAGCCACACCTGCCTGTTGCCCATGGTTATTGCATCTCCAGCAGCTCACACGGACTGCTGTGGTTCTCTCATACCACCACGCCTCAGGCCTGCAGGGAAAGTGCTGGGCCTGCTTCTCCTGGTACCCACAGACCTCTTCCCTCTATCCTCTACAGACCTGCAGACTCCTCCCTTGTCACTCCCGTCCATCCACACAGCTCTGACTCCAGCCCTCTCTCCAGGGTCACTGACCTTACCACCTGTCTTCCTCAGGTCACACTCCAGCACTATGCAGCCTCAGAACTCACAACTTCAAGCATCCTGGCTCCAGCCAGGGCCTCCTACCGTGTGCTGCTATGATAATCTCCTGACATCCAGGCCTCTGGTCCATTGGCCCCACTACCTTGTCACTGTCCCCCTCCCCTTAGCTCCRTTTTCATGGCCATCTTAGGTGTCTTTCACTGATACCACCAGTCTGCCCACTCCTCACTCCCACCCAACACAGGACAGACAAACTGGACCTGCTCTAGGCCTGTACATGTGTAGGGGCATTGTCCTTCCTATGGCCTCTTCATCTACAGCTGCAGCTTCAGGGGCTCACCACCCATCTGCAGTCCCCTGGCGTGTCCACTCTCCCACTCTCTAGAATCCAGAGGACACTCTGCCCATCCACTCGCCTCCAACACCTGGGCTCTCCACCCTTGCTCAGCACTGCTCCTGTTTTCCAAGCCACCAAGAAGGAAGAAACCAGCAGAGTGGACCCCACCCTCTGCCCACTGGGCCATCAGCTGACCTGCATGCCAACCCTTGACCACAGCCCTCAAGACCCATCTCACTCGGGCCCACTGGCAGGTGTCAGCAAGGCCTGCTCTGTGGGCTTACTCCCACCTCTGCCCTGAGCCCACAGGCCCATAGGTCTAGATCCTTTCCCCATGTTTGCAGCAAACCCCAAGCTCTCCAGATGACTGCACTGCTCCCACAGCTGCCTCCACCCACGGGCTGACGCCCAGCTCAACCCCTCCTGCCAGAACACTTTCCTGCGGTCAAGGACAGCTTCCCATGGCCACAGCTGGCAACCCTCCTCCCTGGGGCACTCGCTGTCCCACACCCCTCAGATCCTACCTTTGCTTTCCCCTGCGCCCACCTGGCAGGCCCAGGACAGGTGTGCCACGCTCAAGCCCACTCTCCCAACTTCTCTGTGGGACCCTCCTCCACCTCTTCCAAGGCCACCCATAAGACAGGGTGCCAGGTGCACCATGCTCAGGGCCCCTCTCCCACCTCTCTGTGGGGACCCTCCTCTGGGGCTCCCAACACTCAAGACAGATTGGCCTGATGTGTCTGCTATGACTTCGCATCTCCTGGGCTGTACTTTCCTTCACAGGACACTTCTCCCTTAAAGTGGGGAAACTACTCCACCTTCTGCCTGTTGCTCTTCTCTGAGCCACCCCTGACTCCTGCTGCCTGTCCCACCCGAGGCCGTTTCGTCCTGCCCCAGCAGCCTTCTGGCCATCGCGCACACACCAGCCTCCAGCCACTTGCTCACCAACTGCCACGGCCGGTCCAGGCCACCATCACCATCTGCCCATCTCCATAGTTGCCTGGCAGCTAAGCACTATGCTCTACGCATCCGTGGTCCTCCTACTTTCCACACAGCACTGTGACCTGGCCTTGGTCTCGTCTCACTGGAGGCAGGAGCCACATTGTCCTGTGGTGGTCTCTAAGGCCACCACTCCTGTGAGCTTTCTCCCTAACCTCCTGGCCTCCTCCCTCCCAGAGAGCACCACAGGTGAGACCATATGGCCTCCCGCATGCTCGGTCCTAGGACTAAGGGGGGTCTCCACGCTCTCTTCACTCAGGGCTTGCTCAGGCTTCACTTCCTACCGCAGCAAGCCTCCTCGCTGCCCTAGTGTCGCTGCCCTAGCATCACTTCTCGTCATTCTTCATCACTAAATGGGTGCTTGTGGGCAGAGGGCTTCCTGCTGTGCACTGCCGTACCCAGCCCCGGGCACAGTCCAAGCAGACCAGGGCTAAATTCACAGGGATGCAGGGCGACCCTAGAGCCACTCTCAGAGGGAAGAGCAGGTTCACAGAGGGAGAGGGTGTCCCCAGGGGGAGGGGAGGCCCCAGAGGGAGAAGATGAAGGACACCGGGAGAAGGTGAAAGTGTGGGGCAGGTGAAGATAGAGGCCCAGGGGGAGGTGAAGACCACAGGGGAAGGGGAAGGACACAAGGGGCAGGAAAGGACACAGAGGGAAGAGAAGGGACACTGTGGGGAGCGCCAGAGACAGACGAAGTGGATCCCAGCACTCACCACTGTGCAGCTTCACATGCTCCTTCAGGTGCTTCTTAAAGTTGAAGGACTTCCCACAGGCGGGCTCCGGGCAGCAGAAGGACTTCTGGTGAATGTGCTGGTACTTCTTGTGGTGCTGAGGAGGAAAGGGTGGCAGGGGAGGAGGGCCAGGAGGATGACTGCCTTCCTCAGGGAGACGGACCGAGCTGAGGGGCAGGCAGGCACCTCTGCCACCTCCCGCACTACAGCCCTGTCACGGCCTGGTCATGCCACCTGTCCTCGCCTGCACCAGGAGCAGCGCCACATCCATCCCACACCGACCACTCTGCTGTGCCCCACCCTATCCTGACATGGACTCCCACTTGGTCAGCTCCTCAGCGTGATGCCCCACAGTGGCCGTGTACAAAGCACTGCTGAGTGCTACTCCTGCCCACCCACCACGGACTCACTGTTGGAGGGGAGAGTGGTCTAGGTGAATGTGGCTGTCCTCTTCCATGTCAGTACTAATGGACAACACACCCTCGACCACCTGACAGCTCAGCCACTGATGCACACTAATGTCACACGAATATGTGGTTCCCTTCTAACCTGCTTAGAAACACACACACCACAGCCTCCCGGTGGAGAGTACTGTTAGGGGTAAGGGGTCCTCTCTGACCCTCCCTCTGGCAGTGCTGGGGACCAAACCCAGGACCTGACACATGCCAGGCAAGCATTTGCCACAGGGCTACACCCCATGCCCAGGAGATGGACTCTCAGATCTCTATGCCCCCATGAGGAGTACTTCCTGTCATCCAAGCTAACTCCCACTCTAGCTGTCCCTTGCAACACCATCCTGTTTACCCACAGTTCAACCTCTAGAGCAGCCTCAGCCTCCCACACAGCCAGCTCAGGTGTCTGCCCCTGCCAGGGCTCAGCTCAGCTACTGGCACTCAGGCACCCCCATGACTCCCATGTGGCCTCCTGTAGAGACATTCTTCGGTCCCTCCCACTCACACCATGCTCAGGACCCACTCTGCCATAGGCTCTGGCCAACTGTGGGTCCTGGTCCTCCCCCTACTGTTCCTCAAACTTCCTGGGCAGAGAGGCTGGGGACAGGACCCCTGCCCAGTCCTTCTGGTCTACCCATGCAGGCCAGCAGGGGTGTGGAGACAGCCCCAGCACCACCTCACTCTAGCAGAGAAGCCTTGGTAATGCTGAACCTCTCAGGGAGCCTCGGTTTCCCGAATTGCAAAGTGGCAGTAATATCACCACCTACTCCACAGCAAGTCTGTGAGGATCAAGACCTCACATGTCAAGCACCTAGAACTGCACCAGCACCTACCAGTRACTGACGAACAGGCACTGTGTAGTCCTCTGAGGACCCACAAAGCAAGCAGGAGTGGGCAGGAGCTGTGTGCCCCATGGCTCGGTTTTCCACATCTACTGGTTATCTATCTCATTTAAAGGTTAATGTAGGAAACTGCCTGTTCACAACAACCTTCCTCCTCCTGGCTTCCAATTCCCCCTACACCTAGACTTCTTTTATTTTCCTTCCACTCCCTCCCTTTCTTTTTGGCAGTGCTGGGGATAAAACCCAAGGGCTTGCATGCCCCTGACCACACCCTGAAGTCCTCCTCAGCCCCAGCACACACGGGGCCTCAACTGGGTCCCTCACATTCAGATACTGCCGGTTGGAGAAGATCCTTCCACAGCCAGGGAAATCACAAGACATCAGCTCTCTTTTGGCAGCTTTCCTAGGAAAGGAAAGGGGGAGCAGAATGACACCCGCCTGCTCTCCTCCACTCCCCTCCTCTTGACCCTGTCCAGAGCACCATTTCCTCCAAGTCCTACCTAATTCTTTTGGGCCCAATCTGTGCAGTGTCCTCATCCCAGTCCGGTGTCAGGGCAGATGAGGCCTGGCTTGTAGGGCTAAGGGCAGCAAAGAGGGAGTGGAGGACCTTGAGGGAGGGCCAGTCACAGGGTACCCTTGCCCTCTCTGTTGGCTGTCATGTTACCTGGCCAGTGGCTCTGTCTGCTGGGCCACTGGAGGGGTCCCACTGAGTTCCAGCTGCACCCCAGCCTCTGATGGCAGAGGGTCTCTGGCACCCTCAGTGTGTGTGGATGAGGGTGGAGTAGCAAYAGGAACAGGAAGAGCTGCAGGGGGTGGTGCTGTTTCTCCCTCCTTGGGTGTGGGGGTGACAGGGGAAAGGGGTGGTCTGGTGTCATCTGGCTCACTGCTGAAGGGAGATGAAGAGAAGGGCATTACCTTTCYGGGCACTCAGCCAGCCCTGACAACCCTAACCCTAAACTGAAAATCTCAAACTTGGAATAACCCTGTTCCTCCCCAGGCTCTCCATTCATACCTGCCTTCAGCCCACAGTCTCCCCTGGAGCCCATCTTCCAGTTCCTCTGCCTTTGCCAAGGCTCACCTGCCCTCCCCGGCAGCAAGCCCACCCCTCRAGTCTGCACCTTGTGCCTCTTGTGCTCCACCCAGCACCTCCCTCCATCCCAACTTGCTCATCTGGGGAGGAGCTGTAGGTCCATGGGCTGGCATCGCTGAGCATCTCCTCTTCATCCTCCTCACTGTCTTCCTCTTCCTCTCCTGAGGGCAGGAAGGCCTCTGGTGGGGGTCCCGCCCCCCTGCAGGCCAAGGAAAGCAAGCCTGAGGTCCTGCTCCCACACACCACCATCTGTGCAGGCCCGTCCTGTTCCTCCTCCCTCCCATCCTCACCTGGGCACCCTGGCTTCTTGCGTCCTCTCATGCGCAGACTCCAAACCTGTTGACACAGGCAGGGTCAAAGGAGGGAACACAGGGCTCAAAGAATGAGGACAGATGTGGGGAGGCCCTCTAGGAAGGGGGCAGGGCCAAGAGCCTACTGGAGTGGGAAGATGCATTTTGGTTCAGAAGTTCTATTCACATAGACCATAAATACATAAATACATAAATAAATAAATAAATAAATAAATAAATAAATAAATAAATAAATACAGTAAGCAAGCAAGCAAGCAAGAAGCACACAGTGAGAACCTTCTTTCCAGTACTGTCCCCTAGTCACCTGGCTCTCCCCAAGGCAGCCAGTTTCCTATGTGTCCTTCCAGAGACATTTTATACAATTACATACATAGATTTATTTTGTTTTATTTATTTATCTATTTATTTATTTATTTACAGTACTGGTGATTGAATCCAGTGGCCCTCAACCACTGAACTATATCCCCAGCCCTTAGCTTCAATTTCTTTTGAGATAAGATCTCACTAAGTTGCCAATGTTAGCCTTGAACTTGGCATCTTCCTGCCTCAGCCTCCCCAGTCACTGGGATTACAGGTGTGCACCACTGTGCCTGCCCTTTTTACCCTTATTTTTTTTTATTTTCCACTAATGACAACACACCATATCTAACAATGTATGTGAGGACTATTTCCTTGTTGCCATAAAAGGATTGTTTTTAGAAACAAGGTTCTGAGCCAAATGTGGCAGTGCCCACCAGTAGCACCAACTGCTGGGAAGGTGAGGCAGGAGGGTTGCAAGTTCAAGGCCAGTTCTGGGAATGTAGCTTAGCCACCATCTGTGGAGGCCCATCCTATCCCAGAGGACCCCTGGATTCAATCCCCACTACTAAAAGAAAAATAAAGGAAGGAAAGAAGAAAAGAAACAAGATTGTCTCAGAGACCTGAAAGCCTTTTTCCTTCATATTTTCCACAACTCTTTTTTTCTTTCTATGGTACTAGGGATGGCACCTAGGATCTCACCCATTCCACAGCCTCTTTCCCCTGGCCTACCTGCAGGCTCCTGCCCACTCCTGGCCTCGGGGCTCCAGCTCCTTGGGCTAGTCCGTGGCAGAGAGGTCTGCTTGGGCACCTCTGGAGGTGTAGGGCTCAAGGAAGGTTCCCAGGAGAAGGTGTGGCCGGCTGAGCACTCCCACACCAGCCCCCCATCTTGGCCCCCAGGTCCCCGAAGACCAGGCACTAAGCTGCATTCCCGACTGTGGACATGGGACAAGAGCACCAGATACTGCAGACCCTTGGGGGGCAAAGGCTCTGGACCTGGAGGGGTTGGGGRAGCAGTCAGGTTGGGCTAGGAGGCCCCTCCTCTCACCCAGAAAACCACATTTAGACAATGCTCTCCCCAGAAGCCCCAGTGCAGTTTTTCATCCTTCAGAGCGCAGACCCTGAGGCCCTGAGACATTGCTCCCCATCCCAGAGGTGCCCAAAAGACTAACTCCCCAACTCCATCCCCCTTCCCACTTCATTCAGGGCTTCCAGCCAACTGTCTCTGGGTACCATTGTCTTCTGGGTCCCACCAATCCCTTTGCTCCTGTCCCCTCTGGCTCCTCCTCTGCCATCCTCTACCTACCTGCACAGAGGACACAGCCAGAAGTGTACCTGCCGAGGGAGAAGCTGCAGGTCAGATCAGAGCCTGGGTGACCATCACCCTCAGCCCTGGGCCACACACTTAAGGGGCCAGGCCTAATGACCCCTCTTCGCTGGGGCCACGGAGGTTGGAAGGACCCTGGGAGGCCACAAATCACTCAGGTCATACTGCTAAAGTGAGAAACCTGAAGGTGGAAAGGAGCAGCTGCTGCACCTGACCCCCGAGGGGACAAGAGGCTTGCTGCCTGAGGCCCGCCCCGACCCCTCCCGACACCCCCACCCCCAGCCCCCGCGTCCCTGACCGGTCCAGCAGGAACTTGGCGAGCTGCGAGTGCAGGGAGAAGCCCAGCCGCTCCTTGAGGAGGCACCATTGCTCCATGTGGCCGCCCAGGCGGATGCGGCACTTGCTGCGGCGCGCGTCCAGCTGCCTCCGCTTCTCCCGCCGCAGGCAGGACGCGTCCGCTGCTGGGGAAGCCATGGGACCCGGGCCTGGAGGGGAAGGGGATGCTCCTTGCCGGCGGGTCCTGGGGGCAGAGCCCCCTGCTCCACCGCCCTCTGGCTCATCTGTCCTCATCGGGGCCTCGGGCAGAACTCAACTATTTCAACAGCAGCAGCCGCCACTGGAGCCGAACCGCCGTGCACAAGAGGGTGTGCGCGCGGGGCGCTGTGGGGGGCGTCGCCGGGTGCAGGTCAGGGCCAAGATGAAAGTCAGGACAATAGCCCGCGCCCTCCGGCCCACTCAGGTGTCAGCTGCGGGAAGGGGCGGGAGACTTGAAGGGGAGACTTCAGCTGAGGCGGGGGCGCGGGCACTTCACCGGCCTTGCGGCTTTCCGGGGGGCAGAGATGGTGTTCTGGCGTGCAACTGGGCGCTCTTCTCGGCCACGTCGGGGGTGGGCCGCACGGTGCCCCCACCCCGCCTCGGGCCGCCGCACTCGACGCTCACGGAGCGAGGGACTGGCCAACCCCGCTGGCAGCTCCAGGAGGCCAGGGCCCCGCCGCTGCCCTCCCGCATGGGTCTTACCTGTGCGCCCCCACCCGCCCTCACGACTGCGCCTGCGCCCTGGCCTCGCGCGCAGGCCGGGAGCGAGGCGGGAACACCGGGGCCCACCTCGCGCGCGCCCCGCCGTTTCTCTTTTAAGAAACCGTCCCCTCCGCGTCTGCTTCGCCCGGAACTGCGGCCGGTCCCGGGAGGGGCGGGGGTGCAGGAGGGAGGCCGCGATGCGCCTGCGCACTGGGCGCCCGCGCGCCCCCTGCCGGCAGCGGTGATCCTACGCGAGCAGCGCACTGTGGTGAGCTGCCTGGGTGGCGAGTGGCTGCTTGGGACCGCCAGAGGCTTTGGGGAACGAGGGGTGGCCAGGATCAAGCCCTCCTCTGCACAGACCCTGGCCCTCCGATCAGGACAGACACGTGACCTCTCTAGCCTCTTTGCCTTCTTAGCACCCTCGAGTTCCCTTCTCAGTTGCCACCAGCGAGAAAAACACGTGCTGCAGAAGACTAGCGCCTCCTCTGGACCACGAGGCCCCGCCAGGCACAGCCTCTAACCTCTGGTAGCTTCAGAATTCTTCCGAAGAGTTGCCTAGATGATCTGCAGGCTCATTCTCTGTTCATTCTCCTCAAATGGCTCTGCTGGAGCTGTTCTCTCCAAGCCCTGCAATGGCTCCTCTCAAGATTGTTTGATGGCCATGTAGCTAAATGCAGTGGTCAGTTTGGCCTGCCTCTCAGCCCTAGACCGAAGCCACTATCATGGGTAGATCTCTCTCCTCCTCTTCCCAATGGATGCCTTCACGCTTTCCCAAGCTCTGTGATTTCACCTGATCCCGGGTTTCCTTCCTCCTCCKGTAGCAGTGGTCCACTTTATACTTGAATATAACCCTTGCTGCTCTGCCACTGCAACTTATTTTTAAAATGAATATATTTCTTTCTCTTCCTCTCCCTGCTCCTCCCTAATCTTAGAGGAAATCTTTCTAATCCATTTTATTGATTGATTAATTGATTTATTGGTACCGGGAATTGAACTCAGGGGCACTCAACCACTGAGCTACATCCCCAGCCCTATTTTGTATTTAGAGACAGAGTCTCACTGAGTTGCTTGATGCCTCACCTTTGCTGAGGCTGGTTTTGAACTCACAAAACTCCTGCCTCAGCCTCCCCAGACGCTGGGATTACAGGTCTGCACCACCGTGCATCCCACATGCTAGGCAAGCACTCTGCTACTGACCTACATCCCCAGCCCTTCTTCCCCACTTTAGGAAGATTTGTCGGTCCTTGAGCACACACCCACCATAGGAAGGAAGTAATACAGACTTTGGGGATAGAACCAGAAGATCTCAGAAATAACTGTCTCCCAAATTAACAAGTGAATTACAACTCCAAGAGAGAAAATRTGGAATGCAGCCTTTGAATTACCTCTGTAAAACCCTCCTGGTTCCTGCTGATGGGCAGAATCACAGCCTTTGGGATTGGAGTCCCCTGTGCTTCTCCTTTGCTAGAAAAGGAGAAGCCTTCATTATTGGATTGGCACTGGGGAGAAGGACTGAGTTTCGGCAACACTCATTGGCCTCCTCCTTCCCCTTGTTGGACCCTTCTCTTCCATCTTCTGTGGGACCAAGTATCTCTTCTCCACATGTTTTTTTTGGGGGGAGGGGTGGGAGCAGGGGAGTGATCTCATTAGGTCCCCTAGCTTTAAGTACACTGATGGCATCCAGATTGATATTCCAGCCCAACCTTCTTTCAAACCCAGACTTGAAAGTCTTTCTAACTGCCTGCTTGGTTTTCCATGGTTAATTCAGTTCATTCAGGTAAAGAATTGAGGACAGTGCTTGGTGCAAAGATAGCCTGAACATATGCTAGCGTATATTTTCTCTATGAAAGATAATGCTTAAAACAGCCCATTCCCCTCTCCCTTATCARTTCTCAGTAAATGGTGCCATCATCTATGTAATTGCTCAAAACTAAAACCTGGGAATCAGGCTTGAGTGTATCTTCTGGGACATCTGACCATAAATCAATAAGATGTGTGTGTGTGGGGGGGGGGGTTGTCCCAGGACCACATGCCTGTAAGGGCTCTAGGAGAGAATTCATTCCTTTTCTCTTCCAGCTGCTGGTCATGGCCAGCATTCCCTGGCTTTTGGCAATGTCACTTTAATCTCTGTATCTGTGATCATATTGCTTTTCTCTTCTACATCAAATCTCCCTCTGTTTCTCTCACAAGGAAGCTTGCAGGTGCATTTAAAGTGCAACAAGTGATCTCCCATCTCACTGTTCTCAAATAATTACATCCAAAGTGTTTGCTGCAAGGTGATCTTCCTGGATTCCAGTCATTAAGGCTTGAAGGTTCTTCCTGCGACTAGTTCTTAACGTACCAGACCACCATCATCACTCTCATGGTCTATGCCCACACCTTTCCCATGAATCTACCTTCTACTTTGACATTACTCTCACAATGCAGATGAAGTGAAGGCAAATCTCTTCCTTAAAACCTCTAGTTATCTCTAGTGTGATCCAAAGTCCTTACCGTGGCCTTAGGTCCTAGGAGATCTGACCCCTGGCTGCTTCTCAGGAATCTTCCTCTAAATTCCTGAACATTATGCTCTCTGACCTGGCCACTTCCACTTGCTCACTCTTTCTGATGTGTGTTGACCATGCTGGAGGGAGCTTCTTTTTTCCTGGGGCACTTCCTCCTAGCTCTTCAGGTGGGTGCTTTCTTTTCACCATGTATATCTTGGCTATAAGATTACCCACTCAGATAGCTCCTTCCCTCTGTCAGTTTCTACCCCACTGTGCCCTATTCTCTTGCTTTGACCACACTCATTGTTGTATGAAATCATTTTGGGGACTTGTTTGTGTATGTGTGTGGGGGGGGGAAGATTGTTTGTTTTTTGGTATATGATGATTGTTGGCTACCCTAGCCTTCTTCTGCAAAGGCTAAGCATCCCAAGTGTCATGGAGTTCAAACACGAACCACCCTTAGGAAGAACCCAGTATGTCCTGTCCATGTTCCTATTCATTTTTGGTCTTGATGATTCAATATACTTGTTGAGTAGCATAAGGTAGGAAGGAAGATCAGCTACTATGTTCCAGATACTTTACTCACTAATAAGGGTAAAACCTATGTTTATATGTAAAGCAGGAGTCTTCCAGGCACCATGGTGCATGCCTGTAATCCCAGGTTGAGGCAGGAGACTGAGGCAGGAGGATTGGAAGTTCAAGGGCAGACTGTGTGACAGGAAAATCCTGCCTTAAAATATAAAAAAGGACTGAGGATGTAGCTCAGTGGCAGGTGCTTGCCTAGAATGCCTGAGGCCTTGGGTTCACTGGAATTCAGGTCCTCACACTGCACTGAGGTCACTGAAGGAAGAGAAATATTTACTGAGAAACCACCTCTCCTTCCCCAACCCCAAGAAGTTAGTGCTCTTCTGCAGGACTTAAAAAGGTGGGAGCTGGTGGCTGATTTTGAGATAATTATTCATTCCTTACTTCAATGATTGAAAATTTAGAGAGGTCGACAGAAAAAGATATCTTTAAAATTCTAGTTCCTCTGTACAACTACAAATAGGTCCCATAATTCTTGGTTACTCTTAGACAATAAAAAAAAATATTTTACTACTTTGAAACCCAAGAACATTCTTGGTTCTTTGGGTTTGATACTGTTCAAAACAACTCTAAACTTCTTCCAGAGTCAAATGCTCTCAAGAGATCAATCCTCTTTTTCTCTCCACCTCCCTTCAATTTCTCACATCATGGAAACAAGGAATGAACAATTGTCTCAAAGGTAGCCCCAACTCTCACCTTTCTAAGTACCATGGAAGAGTACTTTCAGGGGATGGGAAGAAGAGGCAGTTTCTCTGTAAATATTTCTCTTTCTCAATGACTTCAGTGAAATGTGAGGACCTGAGTTCTATTTTAGTGTCCCATTACAAAGGCTAAGATTGAACTTGAGCTATTTGTAGCTCTGCTGCTGTTTGGCTATGGTTTACAGCCCACTGAAACTGCCAGTTCTTTTTCACATATAAAGTTCCTAATCTCCCCATCACAAACTCTCATAACTAGGGGGTCTGTGTGGAGAACATTCATCTCCATAACATTTATGTTTTCCTGGACTTTACATGTTACCCCATGGTTGTAGCCAGATCTAATAATAATGCTGTATCATCTGAGCTCTCAATATTCCATCTCTTAAGAGAAAAATCACTTTCCACTCCTCTGGCCCACAGAGGGAAGAGCCAAATTGTTACAGCCTTGGAATCACTAAAATTCTGAGATGACGACTTACTGGAAGTGCAAGCCCTTTGGGTGTCCACAGAAAGGCTCCTAGTAGCACAAGACCCACCCACTCTATTTGTCTACGCCCTCCGACAATTGGTGGGCGGTGCCTCTCCCCAGCAGCCAATCATGCCGGGCTGCGGCACACAGGTTCCCCCCCATGACGAAATGTGGGCGGGGCCAGGCGGGACAGTATATAAGAGATGCAGGGCTGGGATCCTTAGTATCTGACTGGCCCATCCGCCAGTGCTGGGTCAGGAGGTTTAGACGCTGGTCTGGAAGAGCTGGGAACGCGAAGGACTTGAAAGCGAGCTGCTGGGGAACTCGCAATTGGAAATGTTACGGGCGGCCGGGGTGCTTAGGGCCTCGAGGCCGGGGATTCGGCGAAGTCCGGGACGCCAGCTTTGGAGCGACACCACGTTCCAAGTGCTGAAGCAGCAGCTGYCCAGTGACACGGTGGCCCCGCTGCCCGTGGTGAAACCTTACCTTTTCGATCTTCTCACCCACTGGCGAGGTGACAGGGCTCAGGCAGGAGAGCGTGGGAGAGCTGGACCAGCATGGCCAACAAAGGACCATGCGCTCTGCTGAGGTCACAGCCGCGTTGGTGTGGCCATTTTTCTCTGAGCTGCGCTTGGCACCCACATGTCTTCCTCCCCAACCTGCGAAGAGCGCGTGGTCGGTACACAACCCTCGTTGTCCCCAAAAGCTGTCCTCTGTGATATGCCAAAGTCTGTGGGAAATCGCAGATTTGCAGATATATCACAGTTATCATCCAGGTTGTAGACAAGATCCTGCCACCTGTGTCTTGGATGTGTTGCAGAAGAAATGAAGGGGCTTTCAGCGCAAGTGCCCAAGGGGAAAAAACATGAAATACAGGCAGGGAAGTGGGCGCAGGAAAAGGTCCTGGCAGATGTGGGATGTTAGGATGCACTGTGTAGGCCACTCCTACTGCTTCCTGGGGAAGATAGAAATGGAGGGAAATCGATTTGCTCTCAAAACGTGGCTTCTTGTGTGCTATTTTGAAGGGTGAACGTCTTCATTTGGTGACAAGCTCAAATGACAGGGTTTCTCCAGCAGAGGAAACTCCCAGTTCCTTCCCCTTTCTGGCACCTTCATTCTTTGCAACCATAGATGAAGAACCCCAAAGGGCAAGCTGAGGTTGCTGAAGAAACAGTAGGGCTCCTGAGCCAGGTTTGCTGGGGAGAGGAACACCGGTGGGAGACTGATTACAGGAGACTCTCCAGCCCCACCGCAAATCTCATCCCGCTCTGCAGACTTCCGTGTTTGTCTTGCTTTCATCTCTTCTCCCTGTCTTGTTTCTTTTCCTGTTTTACTTATAACTACCTTTTCTCCATTCCGACCTTCTCATTGCCTCTGGTCTCTCTTTTTTTCTCTCCTTCACTCATCTTCTTCCCCTTTTCTTTCCTAATTGTCTTATCACCCTCTCTAGAAAGTTTTACATTTGGACCAAAAATGAATCCAACCTTTCCTTTTCTGCCATCTTCCAGCATCAAGCTTTTAGTATCTAGGGATTTGTGAGCTACCAGCATTCTGAGGACCTCTCTCCAAGGCCTGTCTGATTGCCCACTCACCACTGAACGATCCCATTGCTTCCACCTATCAGCACCTGGTAGATATTGCCCTCCCCAGACTGCTCCTTCAACTTGGGTAACTGAAGTCCCTCCCACCAGTGAGAACTGGGAAGCATGGTGGAGACTATAGACTTCTTCTCCTTCTCTGCTCATTGTCAATCTCCAGTTTACTCCAGAAGCATCTAAAGCATCTCCAGAACCCTGGAAACTTACAGCCATGTATAAAAGGGCCCCCATCAGCATCCCCCCCTTTGTTCTATTTATGTTGACTCCTAGGAAGGGAGGGAAAGAGGAACCCTGCTACAGCCCCAGCAGAAGAATGARGCATGAAAAATGTTGCTGAGGACATGAAATGACAAAGCTGAGTCACCGCAGTAGAGTCTACTCTAGTTAAGCTAGTCTGCAGATTTCATGAGCTAAATCAGTGCCTACTGTTGTGGATGTTTGTTATACAGCACTATGGGCCATGGTTAGCTGATACAGTCTCTTAACACCTATGAGTCTGTCAGGGTTGGTCTCCTTGCAGAGATCTTAGAAAGCCTGACATGAGCCCAAGGAGACCTCGGAGAATTCCTTCTACCCAAATTTTCTGTTCTACCCTGGAAGTAGTGTATCTCTAGAAGGATCTTTCTAACTCCTACGATGAGAGAGGCCACAGGGCATGGTGGAAAAGACAGGTGGGCCAGGGAGGCTGGAGAGAGGTCACCCCAGTGCTGCTGGTGGAAGAGGGATGTTTGGCAACACCTATGTTCTATGTTCTATATGCAGAATTATTTGTAAGTACAGACCCTCTTTGACTTTGAGGAGGTTATGTCCCTGTAAACCCATCATGAGTTGAAAATATAAGCTAAAAATGCACTAAACACACCTCACTTGCAAATCCTAGCTCAGCAACATCCCACAGGAGCACTGGCCAGTCACCCTTATGATTCCRTGGGAGCTGAGGCTCTCTGCTGCTGCCTAGCTTCATAGAAATGGACCCTACACAACAGGTAGCCTAGGAGAGACTAAAATTCCAAATTCAAACTACGGTTTAAAAATCCTAAGTTGAAGGAGCCTAAGTCAGGGACTGTCTGTAGATTTATGCTAAATAGCACTTCCAACAACAAGCTCCATTTGCACATATGCACAAGGGAACATTGTCATATGAATCAGAAAAAAAAAAAGAAAAACTAGAAATGACTCAGAGGTTCATGGGTAAGGAGGCAGATAAATAAACCATGGGGCACTGACAGCATGGAACAAGCTCAGGTGGTTAGAAATAACGAGGAAGACTTTTCCATGCCATCATGATTAAAACCTGAAGACAAGTTGTTTTCTTCAGTTCCTTAGGTGCACTGTGGCTTTTATTTTTTAAAAAGAAAACCAATAAAACTGAACCAAACACCATACAGTAACCTGAGATCACATTTTCCTTGGAGAGAATAGCTAGATATTGGGGGTGGGGGCAGACTGATTTATCAAATTAACTCCAGCTTTCTTTTTATTGTACAATTTTTTAAAAAGGCTTTATCTCTATCATCACTTATGTCCTTAAAAATCAAATTCAAAACATGAATTAAAAAGACCTAGATTTTGTAAACGAGCAGACCTAGTTGAATCCCAGCTATATCACTTGGGCTGTTCATTTCCTACTGGTGGTTTCAGTCTTCCTGCCTCCACCAAGGGAAGAAGTGATRGTGTCTATAGAGGGCCAGCATAATGTCTGGGCCCAGGAAAGGGCTTTTGAATGTCAGCTGACAGTGATGGACAGGTTCACTGGGAGCCGCACAGCTTGGACTGCTCATCCCTTTGGGACCTTGTTTCCCTGGGAATCCTGCCAGGTCTTTGGGTCATATGAGAACTGACCCTGGAAGGGGTGACCCTGGTGCTGCCGGGCCAGCACTCCAGCYAGCATGATGGCATCACAGGGCATGAGAAGCACATTGTGTTCTGTGACCTTGAGGGAGGTAGTTGGAGGTTGGGGACATGGTGTTTGCCTCAGTCTGGCTGAGCACAAAATAACCGAGCCACCACGAGGCACTTGTAGGTTCAAAACAGGAACTCCTTTTTTGCCCGAACTCACGCAAAGGCCACCCACGCGGCCCTTCCAGGAACCACCAACCGGAAATCCCTCCTCTGGCACTTCCCCAACCAAAGCAAACTCTCCAGAAATACCCAGGAGAACTCTGAAGTAGCACAAGAACTCCAAAGTAGCCAGACGGAGGTGGACAGCAGGGGTCTAATATACAATTGAATACACAGCTTAACATAACCATCCTCATCTCAATGGCTCCCTGGCGTCACCTCTCAACAACTCCTTCTGGCAAAAATGCCATGCATCATTCCGACTGGCTGTGGCTCTCAGCAGGTGTTGACATTGCAATGACATCTAAAATAACAAGCCCCTTGAGCTGTCCACGGGGTGCAGGAGAACCTCTTCCATGCACCCTGCTGGCTATTGTGACCGGCCAGGGGCGAGATGAGTCCCTGGTGATCGTTTCTTGCTTGAAGATGTGGAGCTGCTGGCTGTCTTGTCTGTACAACGAGGCTGAAAAACTAGTCCTGATGACCATAGGTGGTTGGGGAAGGTGAGCCTCCAGGCACTGYGCTCAGTGGTGCTCAGTAGAAGTGGATTCTCCTTCTCATCYAGCTCCACTGAGATGGGATTTTAGATGGATTCCCTTGATGCAGGCTACTGAGCAACCCCCTACCAGCCATCTTGAACCTAAGCTGGGTTCAAACTGCCTAGGCCTGTGTGCACCGGGGTTCCCGTAGAGCTTCTCTGCTGCTTAGGTCCACATCTGTGCACTCTCACCCAGGGCACCTTCCTCCCCACCTGGGCAACCCTTCTCCCCATGTCACACTCCTTCCCTAATTCCCTGTAATGTGTAGGTCCAAGCCCGTCTCTCTAGAGGGCAAGAAGTGCCTGTTCCTTTGGGTTCCCAGCACGTAACTGGAGGTCTGCAGAAAGCAGACCTTCATAAAGTGCTTCCCTGGACCCTCACGTCTTCTCTAACTCCAGGAAAGGGCTTTTAAAAACCTCCCCCCCACTCCCTGCCACCAGTCTTACCATTTTTGCCCCCTCTTGCTTGACACCTTTTGAAAGTAAGGTGAGACACGGTTCCTAACTGCCTGGCCTTCCCAGCAGGCGCCTGCTCTGTGTCAGCCTGACTGGCCTCTGGTCTCCTTCCACCTTCGCCTGCTTGCCTTTGCTTCTCTTCTGATTCCTGGTGATGGAATCTGCATTGGACAGAACAGGATTCTGGAAATGGCAGTCCCCAGCTCCAGTCCCAGCTGAGTGCCCATGAAGTCACCCCACTGTGACTCGATTCTGACCAGTGCCTTTCCTTTTCAAGAGCCTGTCATTGGAATCTCTGGGATCATTCCTTGCACAAAATCCATGGATATTCTCTTGACCTGGTGTCTCTCATCACCCCACCTACTGACTGCTGGCTTCCTTGCTTGAGAAGATTTCTATTTAAAAGATATCCCTTTCTCCTAGGTAACAAAAGCATCTTGGCATCTGGGAACTCTGGAGACCTGCCACTGCATGGAGTCCCAGCCATACACCTGGTTCCCCAGGTGAGCAGGAAAGAGGACCTTGGGCAAGTCACGTTCCCTTTTCAATATCTCGGTTTAGTTGTGTACTGGGTTGAATGGTATCTCTTCAGAAATTTATGACCACCCAAAGTCTCGAGAGGTGAACTTCTGTGGTCTGCCCATCTGTGGTTTCACTCTTTATGGCCTCTGAAGGAGGTCTTAAGTCAAATCATAGCTTTGGGGAAACTCCCTAACTTTTTAAGGTAATTTTTAATTTGGCCTTTACTTCAGAATTCTATTGTGACTCTTTTTTTGGGGGAGGGGGGAGTAACCAGGGATTGAACTCAGGGGCACTCAATCACTGAGCCACACCCCAGCCCTATTTTGTACTTTATTTAGAGACAGGGTATCACTGAGTTGCTTAGCACTTCACTTTTGCTGAGGCTGGTTTTGAACTTGCAATCCTCCTGCCTCAGCCTCCCGAGCTGCTGGGATTATAGAAGTGTACCACCATGCCCCGCCATTGGGACTCTAAATCAAGACACCGTATGATGAAGTTTGGGAGTATCTCTTCACTGGGGATTTAAGAAATGAAACAGCAAGGCAGCCTGCATTTTGATAGCTTTATTGGAACATGATGGTAACACAGAATGCTAACTCAGGTCCACCACATATGCTGCCTCTGGGCAGCAGGTACCCCACTTCTGCAGCCAGCCGAGTCTCCAGGAGGCCTCCAGAGGGGCCAGGACAGCCCAGATGCAGGCTGCAAGGAGTCCTCTGCAGTGGCAGGTAGCTAATGGGCTCCTGGGGTGGAGCCCTGACCAGCCGTGTCTGTGATCAGGCTGCAGTTTGCTTGCACTGTAGATCTTATGCCTCCAAATACTTGGCATGACTTGGAGACCCAGCTGTCTCAGACTCTTGGGGGAACTTCCAAAAGAGGGGTTTCTGGGACTTCCAGAAGAAACAGCCCAGAAACTAAGCATCTCTGGGGCTTACCAGGGCAAACCAAGTCTCTGAGTTTATTGGCAGGTAGGCTGTTGACCACGCTCTGCACTCTTCATGTTCTCTGCTAGCCAATCTAACAAACATTCATGAAGCTCCTACTGTGTGCCAAACACTCTTCTAGGGACTAGACAGACAATTGTCACCAGAACTCATGAGCAGGGGAGGCAGATGATGTTCCAGGAGTCAGCCAAGTGGCAGTATCGTTACCGCCATGCCAGGGGCTTCCAGTGAAGAGACAAGGAAGACTTCCTCAAGGAAGGGCAGTTGTGCCTGAGATCTGCAGGAAGTCAACTGACCCAAGGGCAAGAGCATGTCGTCATGGAAACAGCACTGAGCATGCCTGGCTGCCAGGAAGAGCAGTGAGATACAGAAACCAGGAGGCAAAGGCCGGGCCGGGGACAGGAGGGAGGGCTGGGCATGCGGGGCATATACAGCACCTGTGGGCCATCAGCTTTGGCCACCATGTGTGGAGAGGGGCTGGAGGAAGGGGGTGGGGACATGGAGGGAGGCGTCAGAAGCTGTTCCATTTGTCCTACTGGAGACAGGGCCCAGGGATGAGTGACAGCAGGGCAGACAGAATCAGCTGGAGGGTGGACCCCAGTGGGGCCTAGGACCAGAGAGCTTGGACACTGGAAGCAGGCAAACGATGCCTCCTCAGCTATGGAAGCCCCAGTGGGGTTTTTGCATGAGAAGTGGAACCTGGGGGAGCAGGTACAGGGACACCGTGCAGTGTGGTTACGGAAACTCGGAGGTGGGGTGTCTTGGGAACATCCCACCGGAGGGGGCACATAGGCAGAAGGGTCGCAGCCCCGAGGAGCCTGGCTACACCTGGGATCTGTGTGAAGGCTCCTGGTGCCTCGTAGCTGAGGCCTTGGGTGTAGGTGAAGTCACGGAGGGAGACACCCTGAGTGAGGGGAGGGCGCTGGACGGAGCGATAGAGAATGGCTGCCGCTCACTCGTGGCTGGACAGTGATGAGCTCAGAGAGGACTGAGAAGTCCTGGGTGGACAGTGAGGGAGGGAACCAGACAGGGTCTTGGAAGCCTAGCAAGGGTGTCATGGAGGGGCAGGGCCAGTAAAGAGAGATGCTGCTGAGAAGTCTGCCCACACTCTCATGCCTCTGGGGCTCTCACCGCCCCGTCTCCAGGGGTCACTCCCACAACCCTACAGATAGGGAGGAGGAACTTGCCCAGTTGAACAGAGGAGTAAAGAGCTGCTCAGCGGGGTCAGGAGATGTGCCCAAAGAAACACAGCCATCGAAAGGCACCCCTGGGCCAGCACCACCTTGATCATTTCCACCAGTCAGCACACGGTGCCCGGGAGTCCATGCACACCAACAAGCAGCAGAGAGGGTCGGACTTTAGCCCCAAAGGATTCCAAGGCCCCAGGGCTCTAGGCTTTGCCAGGAGAGGGTAGGCTGAGGCAAGGAAATTGCTTCACCTCTAAAGAGTAAACTATAGTGCAGTGCAGGGTCGAGAGCATGGCTTTCCACCCATCCATCCATCCACCCACCCACCCATCCATTCCAAAATCTGTTGAGTGCTTCTTCCAGTCTGGCTGAGTGGCCCCAGGGGGGCCCTGTAGTTTTCTGACTCTCAGTTTCTACCTCAGTGAGGCTGGGATGGTGACCCTTTCCCTGAGGACATGCTAAAGGGTTATGAAAGCGCACACAGGTGAGGTAAGGTGCCTGCACATAGTAGGTGCTAATGGAAGACAGTCCCCTCCTCTTCCTCCTCCTCCCTTCCCTTTGTCCTGCTGACCCATGAGAGGGTGAAAGGCCTGTTTATGCAGCACCCTCTGCCCTGCTTAGAGGACAAGCGGGTTCCCACACATACGTGTTCAGGCTCCCGCATGCACGCACCTCTGTACGTCCCACTGTCTCCACTCATGACACTTAGGGCCAGCACCAACGTGTGCTCTGAACCCCTGGATTCAGCCCAGAGGAGTCCTGAGCATGAGGGTGGGGTGCCGAGCACAGAGCCAATGTCTAGCCCGGGTCTAGGCACCACGGCACCCACTGTGTGTGCTGGGAGCCCCCAGTTCTCCGTGGCTTTGGAGACTGGGTCCTCGGGGGCTCCAGAGGTCAAACTTGGGTGAGCAGAATCTTCAGGGTCCTGGAGCAGGGTTTAGACAGCCTCCTGGGACAGTGTCGTCGGGGTGTCCTCGGGCAGTGGCTCCCCGGACAACTCCTCTGAGGGGCATCGCTGCTGCCTGTGGAGGAACCGAAGCCCCCACAGGCTCTTGCAGCAGTTCAGGAGGCTGTTGGCGCACGTGGTGCAGGACAGCGCCGGCTTCCTGAGGAGACACAAGCAGAGGTCAGAGCTGCTCTGCTTTGTTACTATTGAGCCGGTCTTTGGGAAGGGGTGAGGGGCAGGACGGGGACCCCTCTTCGCTGCCCAGAGTGGCACAGGCAACATATGCTTCTTTCCTCCACATTGGGGTGACTTGTTCCAAACCCCAGCTCTGTTTCTAATATGCTGGACACCTTAGTCAAGTTTCTTAGCTTCTCTGAACCTGAAGTGGATGTAAATAGTCACCTTCTCAACTCTCTTTCTGTTTTGTTTGTTTGTTTATTTGGTACTGGGTACTGGGGATTGAACCCAGGGGTGCTTAACCACTGAGCCACATCCCTAGTCCTTTTTCAGGATCTCACTAAGTTGCTTAGGGCTTCACTAGTTGCTGAGTCTGGCTTTGAACTTGAGACTCTTCTGCCTCAGCCTCTCAAGCAACACTCCCCCCCCCCTCCTTTTTTCAGTACTGGGGATTGAAACCAGGAAATCTTTACCACTGAATTACATCACCTCAGCCCTTTTTATTGTTTGTTTGTTTGTTTTGAGGCAGGGTCTCACTAAGTTGCTTAGGGTTTCACTAAGTTGCTAAGACTGGCCTCAAACTTGTGATCCTCCTGCCTCAGCCTCCCTAGGCTCTGGGATTACAGGTGGGTGCCATCATGCCCAGCAATATCCCCAATTCTTGAAGGAATTTGGTGTCGTAAAATATGTATAAAAGCACAYACAGGTTGGCTCACAGTAGGAGCTCAGTTAAGGTTTGCTCTTTTGGAATCTGCTCTTTTTCCAGTGCCATGGATGAAACTCAGGGTGTCTTACATGCTAAGCAAGTGCTCTCCCACTGGGCCACTCTCCAACTCTGTTTCCAAGTCTGAATGAAAGGGTTCCTGGGCCTCTGCAACTTGACTTGTATGCACTGGGAAGGTGGCATTAATACCAGCTGTGAGCACTCAGGCCACCAGAGGACTCCAGCACCTTTTCCTTTCAGACAGAGACAGGGAGCTCTGTGCTTCCCTTGGAGTCTATGAGAAGGTGGCTGTGGACTTGGAGGCCTGACTGTAGGCTCAGAGCAAGGACACAGCCAGCCCCACCCTGCCTTCTCTGTGTGGCCTGGGCTCTCCCTGCCGGCCCAGCCCCAGGACGCCCTTCCTGCCTGGACCTGAATGTCACATCTCTGGCATTTCAGGAGCACCCTTTTCTGTGTTAGCAGTATACAGGTCTGAGCAGGCAGGCAGGAATCTGCCCTTAGACTCACATTCCAGGTGGGGCCATGGCTTTGGGGAAATCACTCTCACTGAAATTAGTAGAGTTGTCAAAGAAAAGCCTCCTAGAGGCTGGGGAATAGCCACCTCTTCTCTAGCAGCTCAAGAGTCGCTTGAGAGAACACAGCCTTAGAAATACCTGACGCTCACAGTAAAATGTCAGAACACAGAGAAGGAGAGAAAGAAGAAAGCCAGCATCTCAGATGGCTCCTCCAATCCCACGTCTTTTGTTACACGACGATTCAGTCATCAGGTATTCTTAAATGAGACAACTTGTCACCCAGAGACTCTATAAAGCACATGTACGTGGTTTAAAGAATATTAAAATACACCAGTGGACCACAGCGCAGGGTGAGAAATGGAACGTCACCAGCACCTGACCTGCTCTAGCACACGCGTCTGCATCCCTAGACAACATATTGGGCTGTTCTGCCAGCCCAGTGCTATCGTGATATGGGAATTTTTTTTCCTGCAGCTAACTTTCTGTTCTTGTTCAACATGATATTTTTCAGATGAAACAGGAGCACCCACTGTTAATTCTCAGTGCTTGGGTCCATGGTATGAATGCATTTCAACTGGTCCATCCACTCATCTCCTGATGACCACCCAGACTGTCCCCAGTCTTGACCATTTCAACAACACCGCCCGGCGCGTCCTGGACCTTGGTCCTGATGCACGCTTTCCAGTTCCTCCTGTGACGTCTGGCATCGAGGCTCATGGAGGTTGGCCAAATTGCTCTCCAGAGGCGCAGGACCCTTCCCGTCCCACAGGTCCCACAGCCGTGCAGTGGCTCCGGGTGACATTCTCACCAGCACAGGATCCTGTCAAGTTCAGACCTTGTTGATCTGGTGAGTGTGAAATGGAGCCCTCTTTTTAAATTCATGCCTCTCTGATTACTGAAGAGGCTGCTCAGGTCTCTGCCCAGGCCCTCACCCCCACCGCCTCCCTCGTCTTCTTCCCATCTCTCCTCTCCTCCCCTCCTCCCTCTCCGGGTGTGCCTGCCACAGAACTCTTTATTTATGTCTGAATACTAATACTTGGATTGTGTTGCAAGTCTTTACCCACTTCTGGCTTGTCTTTTATAAAGGTTTTTATAGATCCTTTTAATAGATCCATTAGGGAGACAGATCTTATATCCATATAGTCTCTTTGGATGATTAATGTATTTCAATTGAAAAACATCTAATGATGGAATCAACATGTAACAAAAAGACGTGGAGTGGAGGAACAATGAGATGTTGGTCTGCTTCTTTGTGTTCTGTGTTCTGACATTTTACTTTGAATACGTGATTTTCCAAGACTTTATTATCTTAAGTGATTTGTCTTTTGGAAAGCAGAAATTCCTTAATTTTAATAGTCAAATTCATCTCTCGGTTGGGTTTTCACATCTTGGTTCTTATTTTAAAAATCCCTTCCTACCCCCAAGGTCAGAAAGATATTCCACATTTTCTTCTAAAAGTTAAATATTTGGTTTTGGTATTTAACCCATCAGCTTATCTGGAATTGACTTTGTGTATCACGTGAAACTTGGGGCTATTTTATTTTTCTACTTGCTCCCTCCAGGCTCCCAACCCCAATTTTAATATCCAAAGACCACCGGTGGATTTCCCTGCTGATTGATAGTGCTACCTCAACCTTTCGCTTCAAGTTCATTTTCCTTTGCCATGGGCAGAGCATTGATCCCAACGTTCTTATTATCAGTCTCCAGCTCTGCAACATCTAAGATAATATCCCTCTCATTATTGTATTTCTTGTATCACTTACACTTTCAGTACGTTTTGCCAGATTTTTTTTTTTAATCTTTTGATGTTGCTGCTCTTCGCTGGTAAATCTAAGTCTTCTGTTCCATGGGCTTCTGCTGATAATTTGTCTTCACTTTTTCCTTTACCATCTTTGAATTCTTTGAGATTTACTATTTGGTTGTTTCTTTAACTCTCTAAATTGGATGTTTAGATCATCACATTTCAGGTTTATTTTTAAATTATAAGCATCTCAAGCTACACATTTTTCTTTAAGTACAGCTTTCGGAGGTGTACTCTAAGTTTTATGTGCAGTGTTTTTATTGTTGCTTACCTGACAATATTTTCTAATGACCATAAGGAATTTTCTTCATCCCATGATTTACTAAGAAATGTGTCCGCAAATAAGTAAAGGTTTGTTGTTGTTTAGTTGTTGTCAGTGACTTATTATGTATGCCTACAGTTCTTTGAAATACGTTGATTCTTGCTTCTTGGTCTAGTACATAGTCAACCTTTTAAGTGTTTATGCATGCTTGAGAGGAATACGGATTCTCTAGCTGTTGGAAGTAGTGTTTTATTCAATAATATTGATTTATAAGCTTTTCATTTGTGTTTCCAAAATATTACATATCCTGATTAATTTTTTATGTATTTGATCTTCAAATATTGATAGAAGTATGTTATACATTTTATACTATAATGATTTGTTTATTTCTTTGTAGTTTTGTCAACTTTATTTTTAGAGGTAGATTATTTGGCACATACAAGTTTAGAATATTATATTTCTGGTGGATTTTGGATTATCTCTTATCAAAATATGGTGGCCATTTTTATCTCTAGTAATGCTTTTTGCTTAAAGTTCACTTTGGTATTAATATAGCTACTAGATTTCTTCTGATTAATATTTGTGTGTAGTATCTAGTATACATTTTTTTATTTCTCACACTTTCAATGTTTTTATTTCCTTAAGTCTGTGCTTATTAAGATACTTGCTTGGATTTCAAAAATCAAATCTGATGATCTTGGTATTTTTTCATTGGCCAGATTATTCGGTTTACATTCAATAAAATTACTGATGCATTTTCACTTATTTCTTCTTCCTGTTTTTGTGCTTTACATTTGCCCCCCCTTCTACATTCCCCTCCTCTCTTTTCTTTCTTGATTTAAATTGACTTTATTCTCTTTTCTCTACATCATATGAAAGAAATATTTACCTTCTATTAAGAAAAAAAAAATAAAATGTTTATCCAAAGCAGCATTGTAGCAGGAGTGGTTAACCTTAAAGACCTGGGGGCAGGCAGTGCCCCCCCCCCCTCTGCTGACCTTCCAGCCATGCAAGGTGAGCTGAAGGAACACAGAGCCCAGCTTACCCTCACACACTTGAGAGGCGCGATCTGCATCCACTCAGGGCCCTGTGCCCTTCTCTCCTGAGCCCTAGCCTGGGCGTGAGGGGATGCAGGGGATGCTGGAGAGTGCAAGAGAGGAGCCCTGGGTGCTGCTAGATGCTTCCCACAGCCTCTGCACCTTTCCACCCACTTCCCCTTCTCTCAGCTGCAGCACCTGATTCTTCTGTGAGAGGCAACCTTCCCCATCTTCCCCGTGTGGGTCAGGCTAACGTGACCTCTTGCCCTTTGCCCTTGCTTAAAAGTTGCTTGTGACAGTCGGATCAGAGGGATCCATGACCCAGCCAGACAATGAAACGTGAACCTGAAACTTCAGGGRAGAGTCAGACCCTGGGAAACCAAGTCCAAAACTGGAGAAAAACAAATGCCTGTGACATTTGAGCCCTAGGACCCAGGCAGGCTTGCAGCCCCTCGGTCTCTTCATCTCCAGTGGATCACCTGTCCCGCCCGTCCCACGCGTCTGTAACTAGACTTCTGCTACCTCAGCAGCGTCCCGGATATTTCCCATTAAATGTTGCTGGAATCTCACTGCACGAGGGTGTTATAACACGGCCGGCCGCCAGGGGTCAGGGCACAGCACCCGCCGCCTGCGAGGGCCGGCTC